TTTTTAAAAATTACATTTATTCAAAACCGACGCCGACGTTGGCGTCGAGATTTGGGTTTAATGTAGACGTTCACTCTGACGCCTCTGTCTTTGTAAACGGACGGACAGTAACTGCATGTTTATATGTAAGCATGTAAAAACTGCAGATAGTCAGATTAACAGCAACAGTATTTTGTCTCTATCCGCCATTGCAGAAATACATCTCATGTAAACAATAACGTGGTTTTTAAAAATCTCAGTTTTCAGTGACCCAAAAACGCCATTTACGTGTGGACGAAAGGTCCAAACGCGTAGAGAAAGATGCTCGTGTACGTGTGGATGTAGCGTTAGATAAAGTAAGCAAAGAGCCAATTGATACACAGAGAGCAGAAATACATCAAACTCCATGAATCCAAGAGGAAAAATATGCAATAAGATGAGAATCAACTTTTAATTTCTTGTCATATTTCTCATCACAGGAAACACTCGTCTCCTATGTTGAAATCCAATTAGAAAGTAGTATAGACTCACTACAGTCATCCTCCTTAATATTCAGTAACATGAACGCGTTGTGGGTTTGTTTACTTTTCCTTTTAGGTCATCGGGGGTCGGACTGAGTTGTTCCTCGGCCAGTTCAAGCCCTCAGGCTCTGTTTTGCTTATGTGTGCATTCGGGTGTCTCATTATTTTCCAGCCTTCTCCCCGACTTTGCTAAACAGTGAGAGAAATCTGGCTTCAAGCAACCAGTGAATAAACTTCTTCTATATATCTGAAAACTTTTCAGCCTTTTACAAACTTAACTGAATTCATCTTTGCAGTCTAATGACCCTGCATGATTCGAGTTTGCTGGTTTTTCTCTCATTAGTGCTCAAACTAAGTGTTCATGTTAGCGGCACCCTGCGGCACTCAGAGGTCACGTTTGTAAATACTGAACTTCAAATCTCAAAACTTGTGTGATGTAACATCAGTGGAGGGGACACAGCAGGCTCACATTTATCATGGCTACTGCTCTGTGATGATGCTTTGCACCAAAGGAAACCGAAGATCTAAGAGACCACTGGTGTCGGCTTTCTGTGGACTTCAGGCCAAAGAAGCTCAGATTATACTTTCAGGTTACGATACGACTACATGAGGATGTTTACTGGACACCAAAACCTGATTACTAAAATAAATAAATTAGCATGTAAATCAATTAGTCATTATTCTATAGTGCTTACATAATAAACAGGACAACAAGCTATAAACTGACCTCTCCTGCCATGAACTGTCCAAATCCAGGTGGAAAGGTCAAGGTGGCGATTATCAGCGTTACCACAGCGGGAAAAAGCAGTCGGCTGGGAGGGAAAACAAAAGGAAAGTCAAAGCTCTGTGAACGACACAAGCACCAGTAATTACCCTGATTATACCTGTGCATTAAAGTAATTAAAATACCCACAGTAAGGCACAGGCAGCATGGGCTAAAGTAAATTAAAAGCTGCCACAGCAAAGACAGGCTCACTGTTTAGTCAGGAAGCGGGTCATGGCATTGGGTCTTCTCATGAACAGCACCACCTGTCTGTTGAGGTAGACGAAGAACGCGCCGAGGAACCCGCAGAAGATCCTGTACCAACGAGAAAGT